TCTCTTTCTCCCTGGACTTCACTGACAAGCAGTTTCATTTTCACTATGAAAAGTGTACTTCCTCTGAACCTTACAGACAAACAACAAAGCTATTGTGGAAGTCATTCTACTTGTGGTGGTCGTGATGAAGACAATTTCAGTCAAGCTGAATTGTTTAATGACCAGTTCTTCAAAGTAACATTCTTATCCAATCCTGATTCAACTGCCCATGCCATTTTTATTCTTACTGTTTTAATAAGCATTGTAGGGATAGTGGGAAATGGATGTGTGATTTGGCTGCTTGGTTTCTTCATTGAGAGAAATAATTTCACAATCTATGTCTTGAACTTAGCCATCACTGATCTTGGTATGCTTATAGGTGCATTGGCTTTCAATGTCCCATTCATTACCGAATTAAAAGTGGCTGATGTCCAAAAGATACAATGGGTTTTCTGGCAATTCTCTCTCTTCACATATTCTGTAGGTTTATATCTTCTGACAGCCATTGGTATAGAAAGATGTCTTTGCATTCTCTTTCCCATCTGGGTCCGTTGTCACCGGCCAAAACACCTTTCCATTACTGTATCTGTCATGTCTTGGATAGTATCTGCCGTGTTTTGTATTACTGAATTCTTACTTCATTACTTTTGTTTATTAGACCTTTGGTTTACATCTATCAGGATTATGTTTAGTGTAAACCTCTTTATTTTAACACCTGTCATGGTAGTCTCTACCCTGATTCTATTGATCAAAATTCCCTTTAGACACCAGCCAGGAAAGCTGCATACTATCATACTCATCATTCTCATCTTCTTCATTATCACTGCTATCCCGTATGGTACTTTTTTCTTTATTTCTACCATCAATTATAATTTTCATTCTATTGCGGTTCCAGTGTTTACCTTGTTAGTTATTCTGAATAGCAGCATCAACTCAATTATTTACTTCTTTGTTGGGATACAGTGCAATCGTAGATCCTGTGATTCCATCAAAGTTGTGTTCCAAAGAATTTTTAAAGATGAAACTGAGCATGCAGAAACCATAGTGACATAGGACTTCATCAAATAATGAATCCACTTTAAATCCGGTTTCTGCCTCCTGCAGAATTCTAGGGTTTGTAGTCTAGGGAAGAGTCTTTAACAGCCTCACAAAACTATAAATCCCAGAATTCTGCAGGAGGCAGAAACCGGACTTAAAGTGATTCATTCTCTAGTGTGATGAAGTACATAATAGTGACAAAGCCGAGGCACTTAAATTTAAATTCACTACTCTAAAAACCAACAAGTGATTCTTATTGAAATCCTAGAATTTAATGGCAGAGAATAAGGGAAGGAAACCCAGGGCCCTTCCACCCAGCCCTATAGCCACGAATATCAAGGCAGAAAATCCCACAATAACTGCTTTGAACTGGGTTATCTGAGTCCACACTCAGATAATGTGAGATTTTCTGCCTTGATATTCTAGGATATAGGGCTGGGTGGAAGGGCCCCCAGTGACATCAGTATCAAAATATAAATTGCCATGAGCCTAAAAGACCTTTATATTGGTATAGGGAAGCTATATTGGTATAGGAAATAAAGCCTGACAGTTCACTGAAGGGAAGGATATTAGAAGTAAAGATGAAGTAATTTGGTCACATAATGAGAAGCTTGGAGAAGAGAATGGTGCTGGGGAAAATAGAAGGAAAAAGGAAGAGGGGCCAGCCAAGGGCAAGATGGATGGATGGTATCCTTGAAGTGACTGGCTTGACTTTGAAGGAGCTGGGGGTGGCCATGGTCGACAGAGAGCTCTGGTGTGGGCTGGTCCATGAGGTTTATGCGGATCTTCATTTCCAGTGTGATGTCTCTACTCTTCACTATTTTATCGAGAGTGCTCTCCTTCCAAGAAGTAAACATATTCTGATTTCCTGGCTACAGTCTGCGTCTGCAGTAATCTTTGCACCTAGAAATACAAAGTCTGTCACTGCCTAATATCTCATCCAATTTCCATTTCTCCATGTTATAATTTCAATTTGTCAAAAAAGCCACCATTAGTTTTATAAAAATTACTGCTGCTAATATTAATATTCAGGACATTATTTTAAATATTTGTAATTAGAAAAAAAATGTATTGTAATTTAAGTGTATACTGTGTGTAGGTTAAAAATTGACTATATCAATTTTTAACAGATTTGCAGAAATTCAGTTTGTATAGTCATTGTTGAAAAACAAAGTTTCATGATGGGGGTCATATATATGCATAATTTTATTTTGGATTGTTTTATGAATGTTATATATTTCTAAATAATTGATATATTAGTAATTAATAATATGATCACCATATAATAATATCTATTCCATAATCACATGTATCACTGCTACATTTATTGGTATCTATCTCCATCTATCCATCTATGTCTATGTGCATTTATATTCTCAAAATGTACTATGTGCACATGTACAATAAAGCAATCAGGTGAGGTAAGCCTCACATAAGTAAAAAAAAAAAATTTGAACTTTGGTTTGTAAATTGGATGTTTGTAACACAGGGACTACCTGTACATACAACTGGTGCAGATCAATGGTCAAAGAAATATGGTGGCCCTCCACCAAGTTGGTTTGGCAGTCTCGCGCCATCTAGTACAGATGTTTTCATAAGGAAAATTCCACAAGATATATATGATGATAAAAATAATTCCTCTTTTCCAAAATGTGGAAAAGCTCTATGATTTTCACCTCATGATAACACTCAGTAGGCTTAACCAAAGCTTTGCCTGCCTATGCGATGTATATGGTGCTCAGAAGGCAATCAGGCTGCTCAATAAATACCAAATCCAGAAGGGGCACCAGATACTTGTTTGGAAAAGCACCAACAAGTGTGAGCTCTGCATTGATGGCCTAGCCCCACTAGTGAAAGAGGACTGAGAGGCAGTCCAACACATTTGCCTTTGCCTCTCAGTAGGGCTTGGTTGCTCTGTGATTTCTTTGCTGTTTACAGGCTTCAAAAGGAATTGTAACTTAAGAAACAAAGCCCTCTTAAGTTTTGATTCTTACATTTTTGGAGTTTTGGAGTTGTAGTTCACCTTCATCTAGAGAACACTGTGGAATCCAACAATGATGGATCTGGAGCAAACCTGGCACAAATACTCAGTATGTCCAAATGTGAACACTTGTGGAGTTTGGGGAAAATAAACCTTGACATTTGGGAGTTGTAGTTGCTGGGATTTATAGTTCACCTGCAATCAAAGAGCATTCTGAACCCCACCTACGATAGAATTGGGCCAAACGTCCCACACATAACCACAGTGACCAACAGAAAATACAGTGTTTTCTGATGGTCTTTGGTGACCCTTCTGACACCCCCTCGTCACCCCCCAGGGGTCCCGACCCACAGGTTGAGAAACACTGCACTAAGTGGTCAGTGCAGAGGCATCTCTGGTTTTCAGATTTGTAGCCTAATTCTCAAACCATGCTGGCCTGTCTCCAAAACCCAACAGAAGCATCATTTATCCATTTACAATTATGGTAATAGTGTGAAGATTCGATGTTTTTCACAAGTCATAGCATTAACGGTATCCATTTTGGGTAGGCATAACATTGAAAGCAAAATGCAAGTCCAAAACATTGACCACACTGTCTTCTGAAAACCATTTATAAGCCTTTACCATTAAAGAATGCAATATTCTCTTAGGTAAAGACTTTCTCCACACTTGTGTTGTTGAAAGATATAATTCAGGTAAGAGGATTCTTCCAACAGATAATGAAAAACCAATGGATCAGAGGCGTTTCTTTTTTGTTTCCTTCTTTTCTCCCCAGGGTCTTGTAGTGGTTAATGGAAATCCTACGGTTCTACATTACCCCCCCCCCTCCATAAACGACATAGATCCTACTGGCCATACAAATCCCATCTCTAGGCAAAGGTCCAGCTGAATTAAATATCTGTATTGATCACAACAAAAGAAAGAGTGCTAGTATTAATGGCAAGGAAATAGCCTGGGAAGCTACAAATCCAAAAATGCTCCACCTACAAAAAGAAATCACTAGAAGCTCATCCCTAAGCTATAATAAAAAGGGTGGATCAGATTTCTATTAGAATTATGAGATAAACTTTTGGAAACAGCGTACTCCTTCATTGCTAAAACACCGAGGAGCCCCGCAATGATGCTCTTGCTGGACCAAGAATGAAACATTGTTCTTTTCCTTCTAAGACAAGATATCCCTATTGGAAATAACCCTTATTTAACATAAGGGAAGTAAACTTGGAATTAGACCTGGAATGTCTGAATGGTTTTTTAAGCCTCCTATAATATATTTGTGAACAATTGAACTGGAAACAAGGTAGGACATTCAACCCATATTATTCTTGGTGATCTTCTTCATAGACTCTTTCCCTGCCTCTCTCTCTCTCTCTCTTTTCCTCTTTCTATCTTTCCTTCTTTCTCTCTTTCCCTCTGTCTCTCCCAACAGCCCTCCAAACAGCAACTTTAAACAAAATGATCATAATTTCAGAATCTAGACACTCTAACTTAATTCCCTTCTAGCTTTTTGGTATCCTTGTTTGATTTTAACTACTTTGAAATATTATGCACAAGCTTAGCTCAATTAAGATTTGATAGGTCGCCTCTTAGGACAACTGCGACATGTTCCCTGTTGTGTTCATGCAACACTAGGATGCTGCTGAACTAGATTTTCTAGGTTGTTCAGTATAACCCCATGGTATTTGTAGACCAGATGTCTTAATTTCAAAAGGGTTTGTTATTATTCATGGTCTACACAAATCTGTTAGCAATAATATTTAATGTTTACAGCTGCAGACAATTCTTCAGCTGTACTCCACAAAAAGGCAGATCAAGTTGTTTAGCAAGCCTTGCAAGTGCTGATTTATAATCAGTAAATGGTTTATTTTTATACCTCTTTTATATACCTATATACCCAGGGTCATGTAAAAATTTATCTGCAGCAAAGGGTTCATGAGTGGAAACAGTTTAAGACGTCCTTATCTGTATAGCAGAAGATGCACTATCCGCCTTCTCAATACAATCAACACAAAGAGGGAGAGTAACTTAGGCATGTTGATCAACATGCCCAGGTTGCCACTTCAGCAGGAGTGCCACGCAGGTTTTCCAGAGTGGTCTTAGGCTTGTCAGAAAGTGGAGACATGATTTACCCATGGAGTCAGTGTGGTGCCAGCCTGGCTGTCCTATTTTAACATTGTCTCAAATGCCCTGAGATGTGAGTCAAAGCTGTGGTGCACCAGAATGGATAATTTTGTCATGTATTATGTCTCAAAACAGGACCATGTCTCTCTTTCTCTGTGGACTCTGTGGGCTGATGAGCAGTTTCATTTTGACCATGAGAAGTGTACTTGCTCTGAACCATACAGACAAAGAACAAATCTATCGTGGAGTTTACTCTACTTGCAACGGCAGCAATGTAAAGGATCTCAGTGAAGCTGAAATGCTCTATGACCAAATGCTCAGGATAGCATTTGCATCCAAACCAGATTCAACTGTGCAGGCCATTATAGTCTTTATTTTCCTTGTAAGCATTGTAGGGATGGTGGGGAATGGATGTGTCATTTGGCTGCTTGGTTTCTGTATTCAAAGAAATAATTTCACCATCTATGTCTTGAACTTAGCCATCGCTGATTTCAGTTTGCTTATGAATACATTTGTTTCACTTGTCAATAAGATAATTTCTATGTCAAATGGGACTGAAATCAAAACAATGCAGCTGCTTTTGGCATATTTTTTTGTCTTCACACATGGAGTGGGTTTCTATCTTCTGACAGCCATTGATGTGGAAAGATGTATTTCTGTTCTCTTTCCAATCTGGGCCCGTTGTCACTGGCCAACACACCTTTCCACTACTGTTTCAGTCTTGTGCTGGATAGTGCCCGCCTTTCTTCTTTTAACTGAATTCTTGCTTCTTTATTTTTGTTTGCTTGACTCTTGGGTTATATATGTCAAAACTACTTCTGCTACAAGCCTTTTTATCTTAACACCAATCATTGTGATCTCTACTCTGATCCTATTTATCAAGATGTTGTTTAGACATCAGACAGGGAAGCTTCACACCATGATAGTAATAATCCTCCTTTGCTTCATTTTCACTGCCATTCCAAATGACATTTTATTCTTCTTGTTTGTTATTCACCGTGATCTTCACATTATTGCAATTCCAATTATTGTCCTGTTAATTGTTCTGAACAGCAGCATTAACCCAATTGTTTACTTCTTTGTCAGGAATGGGTGCAACTGTAGATCATGGGAATCCATCAAAGTCACGTTGCAAAGGGTTTTCAAAGATGAATCAGAGCTTACCTAGGTCAGTTGAATAACAATAACTTAAAAATAGAGAAAGTGCAAAGGCTGACCAGTAACATAAATACTGAAATAGAAATTGACATGTGCTAAAAATCATTGATATAGCTTTTGGCTTAGTGGATTTCATCAAAGCCATAAAATGTTAAAACAGAAGAAGAAAGTGGAAGAAGGAGGGCATTCCAACTAAGAATGACAGCTTAGGATCAAATGGAGAATGGCACAATCCTTCAATAAATGACTGATGCCTCCTCTAAACCCAAACATTCATTTTCAATGTTTGTTTTGCAATTACTACTTCATGCACTCTTTCATAATAAATGTCAGTTTTATCATATCTCTTGTGCCTTTTTGAAAACCTCTTTCTCTACTTTAAAAAAGGTCTTCTTTGTGTATTATTATCATTTGGATTATTTTCTTGGTGCCATATCTTTCTAAATATGTGGAGGAATTCAAGTGGTTTTCTCTCCGATAAAAACAAGTAGTGTTTTTCTTCACTTTTGCAGGAGTCCTGTGGCCCTAACCCCAGCAAAAGTGGTGAATGACTTATTATATATTCATATTCAGTATGTCCCAGTAGTGCAGTGGGTTAAACTCTTGTGCCAGCAGTACTTCTTGATGGACAGGTCAGTGGTTCAAATCCAGAAAGAGCAGGTTGAGCAACATCATTGCAGGTAGCCAATTCTCTCACATCTTGGGACAGCCAATTCTCTCAAGTTGCTTCTGACACAAAAGAATCTATTATTTGCACATACAAATGAAATCCAAGAGCCCTAGAAAGAGTTGGGGGGATGTTTTGTTTTTTTAATGTCAGGAGTGACTTGAGAAACTGCAAGTTGCTTCTAGTGTGAGAGAATTGCCTATCTGCAAGGACACTACCCAGGGGACGCCTGGATATTTTGATGTTTTCTCAACCTTATGGGAGGCTTCTCTCATGTCCCCGCAATGGGGAGCTGGAGCTGACAGAGGGAGCTCATCTACGCTCTCCCCGGATTCGAACCTGCAATCTGTCGGTCTTCAGTCCTGCTGGTTCAAGGGTTTAACCCATTGCACTACCTGACACTCCGTAAGAAGAGTGAAAGCCGCCTAATATAGCAGTCAAAAAGTATTAGCTTACATAACGCTTCAAGCCATAAATTCAGGTGGTGGATCTTATAAAGATCTCGACTGTAGAAAAAGAGAAAGTAGAAAAAAAAGTTGAGAGCACCCAAAAGTTTAAATGTGAAACCAGATTGCATAGATAAAAGAGAAAAAAAGAGTGAAGACAGCACAACAGAGCAACAGTAGACATTGAAAGATCTGACTACATGGAATAAAATGAAAACTGAACCCATTGGCATAAAATACAAAACAAACCCAATCATAAATCACTGATATCCTCCTCAAGTTTCAAATACCCAGTGTCAATACTTCTGCTTTAGACTCTGTACCGTGTTGTCAATGTCACCTTGTGAAGTCATATCCAATTTCAATTTCTCTATTTTATACTTTCCACTTTTTAACATGTCAGTTTTACGAAAATAACAGCTGTTTTTTTTAAATATGTAGGACCTCAACTTAAAATTTTAGGGTTTATGTTTATATTAAATTTTAACGTGTTTTTTTAATATGTAGGACCTTAACTTAAATTTTAGGGTTTACGTTTATATCAATTTTTAACAGATTTGCAGAAATTCAGTTTGTATAGTCATTTTTGAAAAACAAAGTTTCATGATGGGGTCATATACATGCATAATTTTATTTCGGATTGTTTTATGAATGTCATATATTTCTAAATAATTGATATATTAGTAATTAATAATACGATCACCATATAATAATATCTATTCCATAATCACATGTATCACTGCTATATTTATTGGCATCTATCTCTGTCTATCCATCTATGTCTATATGCATTTATATATTCAAAATGTACAATGTGCACATGTACAATAAAACAATCAGGTGAGGTAAACCTCACATAAGTAAAAAAAACATTTTGAACTTTTGTTTGTAAATTGGATGTTTGTAACCACAGGGACTACCTGTACATACAGTTAGTGAAGATCAATTGTCAAAGAAATTTGGTGGCCCTCCACCAAGTTGGTTTGGCAGTCTCGCGCCATCTGGTACAGATGTTTTCATAAGGAAAATCCCACAAGATATATATAAGGATAAAAATAATTTCCCTTTCCCAAAATGTTGAAAAGCTCTATGATTTTCACCTCATGATAACACTCAGTAGGCTTAACCAAAGCTTTGCCTGCCTATGCCTTGTATGTGGACCAGTTGGTGCTCAGAAGGCTATCAGGCTGCTCAATAAATACCAAATCCAGAAGGGTCACCAGATACTTGTTTGGAAAAGCACCAACAAGTGTGAGCTCTGCATTGATGGTCTGGCCCCACTGGTGAAAGAGGACCAGCATCTTCTGATGCAACAGGAGCATATTACAGGAGTCCTGAGCATCGCCTTGCACCCAAGCCCTTTCAAGAACCAGTGGCAGCTTGAAGAAATGCCTTAAGCCAAGAACCTCCTTAGCCTGTGAATTGCCATGAGCTACCAACATTGGACTGTATGTTGGATTACCTGAACTCACTATGTGAGAAAAAGCAGTTAAGTTAGGGTACCCTGAATTGTTTACCAAATGTGTACAAAGGAATCCTGAAGGTTGGAACCAGTTCTGGTATGATGTAATCATACCCAGGTGCACATCTTTCTTCAATGGATTTATCTAGATCAAGCCAGATGACTCCCATCCGGAAAACAAGTGACTAATGAGGCAGCCAGCAAGAACTCAAAACGCTATGGTTAGTCAAGCCGCCAGTCACCAATGGTCTCCTCTCCTCCTTCTCCTTCTTCTTCTACTCTTTCCCCTTCCCTTCCCTTCCCCTTCTCCTTTTCCTTTGTGCAAGCTGTGTCCCCATGACTCTGGAATTCATTGTCGGGTGAGATTAGGCAAGCCCCCATGCTAGCAGCCTTCAAGAAGGATCTCAAAACCTGGCTTTTCTGTTGCGTTATTGTTCGCTCCCCCATAATGTCTGTTCCCAACGGTACTTCCCCCTGCCTGTTTGAAGGTCTGTCTCCATTACTCGAGTAGTCTGTTTTCAAATGAGTTTCTCCTTCACAATTATTTGTGTTTCATTTCTATCTCATCCTGAGTTTGTGATTTATCTATTACTGTATTTTGCATTATTATTGTATTCTTACATTTTATTTAATTATTGTAATGTTTATTTTGTGTTTTCATTTTATTGTATTTGTTTTATTTCATTTATTTGTAAGCCGCCCAGAGTCCCCTCTGGGGAGATGGTGGCAGGGTATAAATAAAGATGATGATGATGATTATATCCCTTATCTGTCTCCTTTCTCCCTTCCTTCTCCAAAGTGCCTGCTTGCTTGTCTCAAGCTCTACCCTCCTCCCTTGATCCCTTTGGAATTTGAAGACAAAATGGTGGCTTTTCTGTGTCTCTCCTCCCCCCCCCCCCGCCCCACACACCTCTGATAGCCCTGACTGGCTGAGAGGTATTCCAACACAATTGGCTTCACCTCTCAGCAGGGCTTGGTTGCTCTGTGATTACTTAGCTGTGTCACAGGCTTCCAAAGGAATCAAAACTTAAGAAAAAAGCTCTCTTAAGTTTTGATTCTTAAAATTCTGATCTGGGTAACACCCATGCATTGGTTATCATGTTATAAGTATGAAGCTAATGAATTAGTTCCAACTTACAATGGGATAGAATTCTTCTTCACAAGCCTGATAATCAACCACACAATGAAACCACTTTCTTCAATACCGGTTTGAAACTACTTTAAATGGTCAATGTAGATGTGTCCTAAGGGTGCATTAACACTGTAGAATTAATAAAGTTTCACATCATGCTCAATTATATGGAATCATAGGAATTGTAGTTTTACAAGCTCTTTAGACTTCTTTGCCAGAGTGTACCGGTGCCTCATTAAACAGTTTCCCTTATTCCACAATATTGAGCCATGGCAGTTAAAGTGGTGTCAAGCTTCGCCAGGCAAGGAAATTGGCATTCTACCTTTCGGTAGAAGCATTAGAAACAGTAATTCACGCAACAGTCACCACTAGGTTGGACTATTGCAACTCCTTATATGCTGGCCTTCTGAAGTCAATAACCCAGAAGATTCGGATGGTCCAAAATGCAGCGGCCAGGCTGCTAGCGGGATCATCTATAAGATCCCATATTACACCGATTCTGCAACAACTGCATTGACTACCAATAGAACCTTGGATCTCTTACAAGATCCTGATCCTGACATTTAGAGCTCAAAATGGCCAAGGACCTTTATATCTTAGGGACCGCCTCATTCCTTTTCTCCATCAGTGGTCACCTCGATCCACCCAGGAAAATCTCCTATATATACCGGGCCCTAGGGAGGTACACCTGGAAGCTACAAGGCGTAGAGATTTTTCTACCTATGCTCCAATTCTGTGGAACTCATTGCCTCCATACATTAGAGCAATGTTGGAGTTGCAACCTTTTGTAAAGGCACTCAAGACTTGGCTGTTTGGTTGTGCATTTAAGTAATCAGATCTAATTTGCCAAATAGTCACTGTTGAATGTTTTTATGTTGAATGTTTTTATATTGTGTAAATACTATTTTAAATTGTAAGTCGCTCAGAGCACCTTGGTGGAGAGCGACTAATTAAGAAATAAAGTGAAGTGAAGTGAAGCTGTGTGAATTCTACAGCATAGATACAATCCGAGTTCAAAGTGCAAAAGGATCTTACACTCAGTTACAATTTGATTTGTACATTGTCCACCATGAAGCAGATTCACCAATGCTTCACACTAAGTGCTCAGTGTAGAGACATCTCTGGTTTTGGAGACAGGCCAGTGTGAAGATCCCTTACCTTGCCAGCCAGGGTGGCAGGGCCCAGGAAGAGACAGGCTAGGTAGTTTCAGCTTAGAAGGCCTGGCAGAGAGCTGCTGGAGCCATCTTAGTTTAGGGAAGCTCCAGTTCAGAGAGGGAGGAGTGGCCTAGGCCTGAGCCAGCCC